TCTAATCTAGATAATGAAATAGGGAGCAAGATTTTCTATTTTGTCGCAAAATACCAAAAAATTAAAAAAAATCTATTAGCAGAATACAATGGTAGATTGACTTATACAAAAACTCTGCAATGTTATTTTGTAATTATTTAATTTAAATGGAATGCATAGATGTAATAAATATAGACTACGCATTCCAATGAAGTTGCCACTATCGGTTTAGAAAGAACAAAATAGTGTATGTGCATCGTTTCTTTCTCGAATATTGTATTAGTAGAATGAGAATAATAATATATAAAATTAAAGAGAGATGTTTTGACATATTTCGACATATTGCATTCTTTTTCTAACGGAGCACAGATACTAAACGTTAAAAGCGAATGCGCAATCTATACTTAAATTATTACGTCTATTATGGAATGTATCATTTATAAAATGACAGATTTTGCGTTTATCCAGCTATTTATAAAATGACAGATTTTGCGTTTATCCAGCTATTTCTGCTAAAAATATGTTGTTGGAAAATTATCGGATAATTGATGATAAAACACGAGCTTGTGAATTTGTCCTATTAATGATGCAATCGCCTAAAAATAAACTACTAGTGCAGTGAAAACACTACTGAAATGTAGTAGTGTTACTGCTGGTATGAGTAGTGCCCCTACTACATTTAATTCAGTAATGTTTTGCTGCAGTAGTTTATTTTCAGATGTACCTAATTTCCGTTATAATTCGAATCTGCTGGTAAATTAATACTGTTATCTAATTTTACTAAGTAAATTAAATAATTTAGTTAATGATGAATCTTCGTCATTATAACAAAATAAATAGTTAGCGAGAAAGTAACACGTTTTTAATATGACTCTTGCTCGGTCAAGGTATCGCGCAACACTAATAACGAAATTATCAAATCGTTAATAAAATGCACTTTCAAAGTATAAAATTTGATCAAATAATGATCAAAAACTCTACAGCAAATTCTTTATTTCATCTCAGTGTGAGCCTCGTGATAGGATTTAAAAACATTTGGCAAATAATTGAGAATGAAAAAATTCTTTGATTGTGCAGATATAAAGGCAATATTGTATTATTAAATATTGTACGTAAGGCAATATTGTATTAGTATTAAAATAATTATATGAAATAAAGACACAAATAAAATGTGTAATTTGAGTTTGAACATTTATTGAACATCCGATCTTTAGTAGACTTAAGAAAAAAGGTTAAAAAGCTACTCTCTATAGAAATATAAAAAACAATGTTTTTAATTGTGACAAGAATAATTAGATTATTATATGGAAAGATTGTTTAAAGCTATTAATTCATAATTCTCTATATACATAAGTAGGTCAACATTTTTATAACAAATTAATGAACGAATATTTACGTAGTTCCTTCAACTGATAGCGGTTGATTTACTTGTTCATTTACTCTCGTATCTCGGCTGTAATATACCGCATGAGCAATCAGTAAGCTTCTTTCTTATCTCTCTAGAGGGACACACAGATTCTATTTTCTGCTTCCTTTATCTGCTCCAACATGAAGATTATCGCTGATTATTTATTATCCAAAGAAATATTTATTTCGGAACTGCCGCATTCACATACACATCAGAAATTCTCGTATTCCTATATATATATCAACTGCTTCAGCAATGTTTTGTTCGTTGCACTCAAATCATTTATGCATCTTCAATTTTCCTCAAAGTTTTTTCTGTCTGCAAATCTCTCTTAAAGATTTCTTCAATCTGAATTTTCGTTTTCCCTCGTGTCTCCGGTAACACAACCATTAGAAAAAAGGTACCGATGATGGCAACTATGCAATAAAAATGAAAAGTGCCATTTCTGTTTTGCGTCACCATCATTGGATAATATTGTATGACAATGCAATTGAACGAACTGGCGATGAAACTAGTAATGGATCCAAGAACATTTACGTGCTTGATAGAATATAGCTCCGCAATCATTGACCAAGGAATCGTAAGAAATCCAAATGATCCGAAGCCCTACATACGATATTAATTATCGATTAATCGTAAGCTCCCTAGCTATTGTAAACGCATTGACACATATTTTCAAAAAGCTCTCTCAAGAAACTGATATCAAGAAGTTTAAAAAATCCAGATTTCTAATCTATAGGTATATGTACATTGAATTCTTAATTTTGTGACTAACACACACACACACACATACACACATATTATTAAACTCATATCAAAGTCAATATCTATAACTACTTTCTTAATAAATATAAAAATAAAATCGTTTGATAAACAAGACACACTAAAAGCGATACTCTTTAAAGTCTTATTTTCTTACCATATAGAGAAGAATGCAAACGAGAGGTACAGTCGTAACGCCGGTGTCTTCAAAAAGTTCCAGGTACACTGATAAAGTGCCCAAAGAAATTGATACACCGACACCGGATACGATCGAAATAATTCGACGACCAATTCTAGAATTTCAAAATTTATTGCACAAATTCCTCGGAATAATATCAAATCAAACAATTTATTGTAACAAGTGTTCGAGAATCTTGATACAAAGTATGTCAGGATTATCATAGTTGTTAAGTTTAAAAAACGAAAAATTGAATATCGCTTCAACTTCGCGTTCTTTTGCATTCATAACAATTTGTTACTCATTATTAATATTTAGTTTTATCACAGCTAATATTGCTTCTTGACTTTTTATGGTGTTTTTGTGTGTATCACTTAAATGTTCATATATACTTTATATCGTATTCATGTTGATTGCAGATTGTGTATAGCGAACAAAAATAATTACCTTATGCTACAGCATGCGGTCATCACCTGACCTAACACTTGGACAATTCCTAGTATGACAGTGATCAAGAAGGGGTCCCCTGTGATCTTGAGCATACTAATTATATCGATAGCATAATTTAAAATCACCATTAATCCACTAAACTGTTGAAAAAAGAAGTAGAAGTTTAGTATTACAAACGGTTTCCATACTTCTGGTAAAAGGATCGTTTTCTTGATGCTTTTCAGTTTATAAATCAATACATTCCAGTTTAGAAACGATCTCTTTTTAGCGTCTTTTGTCACGGAGGAGTCTAGTTGACTATTTCGAGATATTTCGAAGTTATTTATTAATTCGACATAGTTTGTCATTTTAGCAAACTCTTCCTGAAACTCTATCGTTTCCTGATGCAAACCGCGTATATGAAGTAGAGCAATCTTAGCTTCCTCTTTTCGACCTCTCATAAGCAACCACTCAGGACTCTCGTGAATGAAAAAAATATTGCATAGCACAAGTAATATCGAAGGTGCGATAAAAATTGCTGCTATCAGCCTCCAATTGTTCTAAAATAATTTAAATCTATTTAATAAATATAAATATAAATTAATATGTTTTAGTTTTAGTAATGTCTTAATTTTTCTAAGAATAATTGTGTTCAAAAAGAAAGATTTAAAGAACTAATTTTACACAAATAATCCAATATTTGATAAAGATGCAGGTAATTAATTTAAAATATTAATTAATTACGTGCATTTCAAATTGTCAATGATCTTTTCATTTTTTCTTTATCAATAATCTCTTAATTTTTTAATCTTATCTATATATCTTATTTTTCTATAAAAAATTATTTAAAGCAATATAATGCATCTACCTCAAAAACAAACCCTACAAAATAAACGATTAGAACTCCGATGGAATTCGCTGTATTAGGAGTAACTATAATGGTCTCCTTCCATGAGGATATACAGATTTCTGCTAAATAAATTTCAATTGAAGACAAACAAAGACCCGTGGCAATTCCTGATAATTTAATAATAAAATGTTTTTAATTAATATGAATTAATCTTAATTACCTCATTGTCAAGTAAATAGTTTAGAGAAGATTTTTTGTATAAGGATATTAATATAAGAAAAGATTTTTGAACAGGCTTTTTATAATCTCGAGATATAATTTTGTATTGACTTACACACTATGGACAATTTCTTAGTAATTAATTCATTAATTTCTCATTAATAATTTATCAAAGTACTTGAAATTGCATCTCTACTTTTATACTTTCGAAATTAACAACAAACAGTTATTTTTTAAACTCATTGTGATTGATAAGAAAAATATTATGTATAAATTAATAATAAGAGAAACCTCCATGATTTCGGTTAGACGATTTCTCACCTGTTAACGATCTACCCACAAAGAGCTGTGCCACATTATAACTACTCGCAATTAAGATCCAGCCCAAAATTAAGTTTACACTGCATACTATCATGGTACATCGTCTTCCATAGTTCATCGTAATACAGCTTAAGACGCAACCGATGATTTGATTAATGGATATTATAGAAGCTAGACAAAAATTTTTTCAATGTTAGGTCCAAATAAGTACATTTACTATACAAAAGTACATTTAATATTAAGAAATAATATTGCTTAATATTTTATAAAAGTCTTTTTATTAACTTTTTAAATTAATTACGTATATAAATCTACTTTATTGCTTTTTCCTATTTTCCTATGTGTTTACATATAAATTCATGTAATATAACAATAAAAAGCATACAATGATTGATTGCTGTTATTAATACATAGGTATGTTTACAATCATAAATATTGTGGCAGATATATCTTGTAATAGATAATTAATAATAGAATTATTTAAATTGTTAAAAACAGTTACCAAATAAGGGCGCTTCCATTGCAGTTAAAGTTATCGATGACGTATTACTTGTCAATACCGGAAGTACGACGGAGGAATATCCCGTAGCGGCTCCGGCAGTAATTAAAGCCAAGTTGCACACAATAGTATAAAGAAGCTGCATATAGATAGATTGTACATATAGAAATTAAATATTTAATATAACATCATTATAATCTGTATTTTTATTGTATTTTATTGTATTTTTTATATTTTATATTTTTATAGAACAATTTCTCTTGTTCGTTTTTCTTATTTGAGAGTTTTTTTAGAAGTTTAAATTCACTGCATTTAAAAAATTCTTTTATAGATCTGTTTAAAGATTTTGTCATAAACCACATTAAAGATAATCTCTTTTCTGCTTATTAAATATGTTTAAATATAATAAATTTAATCGCGTACCAAAAATAACACTTCTCTTCGCACATTCCATCGTAGGTACATTTTTATATTGATTTAAAAATCAATCATCCGTATTATCCGTACTACCAAGCGAAAGTTTCGCGGAAAACACGGAATATTTCTATATTAACTAACAACTACAGCTATCTCCGCCAATGGCACTATAATGATCCATGGACTTACAGCACAGACAAATGATTTATTAGACAATTCTAAGCAGCAATTGTAAGCAGCATATTTTAAATGGAAGTTGTGTTTTAATCGCATTTGTGGTAAATTCAAAATTATCACTGGCGTATACGTTTAATTGCGATCTTTCCCGAAATATGTTATTATTATTTAATATAACGGTTTACACTTGAACTGCAAATTTTATAGACAAGTAATATGTCTAGTTCGTTTTGCTAAGCAACTTTCGGCTGATCTCCTAATTAAAAATAAAGGATTATTTTAAAATTTTAACAAGACTTGTTACATCGTTGAATGTGGTGCCTGAACTGTTCTTCTTTTTTCCATAGACGTCTAATGTATGTACGTAGTTATTTAACGACTCATTATCAAGCGACAAATTTTCCGCAATTCACGTTTGCTATCCACGTATGTCGCCACACATAGAGTCTTGTCGTAAAACGTCAAGACTCAACTATTTATATACGATCAATATTATCATTACAGACATAATCATGCGATATTTTAAGAAGCTTAATCATACTCAGAAGTCTTTGCTAATATAGTATTTAACACTGATCACATGAGAATTTATCATTCTGAATAATAATTCATTTCTCAGTAATGCGACTATCCTTGGCACTTTTTAAATGTTCTTAATGAAATAAAATGCAAAGAGGAAGATTGCATTGTTATGATACGCAATTTGTCAGTTGATATTTTTTATACTCTATTTTACTCGTTTTTTTATTTTCTTTTGTTTTGAGTTCACTACGACTTCCTTTCGTCAGCCACTATAATTAGAATGTGAAATAAGCGAAATGTAATTTGAAGTCTTAATTAAGAAGTTTCATCTTCATCCATCCTGTGTCAGTAATCTAAAGTCAGTTTATGAATAATCTAATGGAAAATTAATATTTAAAATTTAAGAAAGAACTATAGTACTTGGTTATGTAAGAAACGAGTTAATTGTCTTTTGCAACAACGTATGTGGCGATATGCGTAAATAGCGAATATATTGCAACTTTTTACTTTACTTGATAATACGTTTTAACATGCCATTATTGTTACTTTTAAGCAACCGCGTACACGTAAGGCATAAAAAAAACTAAAAAAGTGAAATAGTTTAGGCACTACTTCCAATGAGGCAACAAGTTTCGCTGAAAAATTCAATAAAATAAAATGTTCCTCTGTTTTACTTGGAAGATTATCTATAAATTATTTAACAAAACAAATTAGGCATAATATCTACTCATCATTATCTATAAAATCTACTTGTCATTATCAGAAATGCGAGCCGAAATCTCGCAATCAAACAATAACGTGTAACAGGTCAGCTACTATCCTATACGGGATCTAACAAACACGAGTGTATCTCTTGTAAGGCGCCGGAATAAATTCCGAATCTAATAAACACGAGTCTCACTTGCGGCGCTCATATAGCAACGTCAAGTGGTTAAACAAGTCAGTTTTCGTGCGCGCTTTCATCAGAGAAATCGCGAGACAATCCGAATGATTTTGAAGTCGATACATATTTTCATCTGTCATCGATAATAAACGACAAATAACGATAACGATTAATCCCAAGATACGTTCAATTTTTTACGTGCTGCTCTAACGCGAACAACATTTTTCATTCCTGAGGAAAGTAATCTGTTATCGACATGGTGAACGTATCGCCGCGTATTCTTTATCGATAAATAGAGAGCGTTGGTCTAGTTGATCTTGTGAAAAGAACGTCAAGTCGGTAATGAACTGTTAGGAAACACATGCACGGATTTTGTTAAAGTGAAAACTTTTAGTTCATTAATACATAAATTGCACAAGTGCAGCCGTGAGTTTTGTTCCGCGTAACAAATCAACATCTGGCAAGATGACTTCTCTCGAAGAGGAATGCAGCAGTTTCATTCAGGTAGGTAGGTCAACAGACCTTGCGAAACCTACTTACTGTTTTGTAATACGAGTGCAGTTCGACAGATCGCTGTACCTCTCGTATTGAGGATTTGACTCACATACACATTTACGTATCATCAACTAAACTAAAAATCAACTAAAAAGTTTATTATACAAAATATTAATTATATAAAATAATTTCCTTTCTTACAAGTGCTTATGTAACAAAAGATGCTTGTAAGAAGGTAACGATCTAAATAGGCGATAAACTTCGATATATTTTAAACATTCAAATTTTCCCTCCCAAATTCCATCACAAATTGTAAATTATTAAAATGAACTTGATATCGATGAATGTTCAAATAAAGCTTAGAAAGGTGTCAATTTACGATCAAGTATATATGATCAAGTAAGGTCTACAAACTCGGAATCGACATCATACTTTGATCTCTTCCGCACTATTTATTGCGATTAATGCGCGATAATGAGGTTTAATAATCTCTGACTCTTGCGATTATAAGCGATAATGTGATCTAATAATCTCGCGCGGATTATAGACGATAATGAGATCTATAAGTAATCTCGTATGAGTGATTATAGGTAATAATGATAATCGTCGTCGCTTTTCTGCAAATCAATTGCCATCATGCTTTTAAGTATTTATACGATTCTAAGTGCGTGGCGATCGCAAAAATCGACGTTGCTGAAATGTCGGGCACTGTCATCCTCCGTCTCGGCAAGACTCGATCGAGCGAACGGTACTTATTACCGATCGCGGCCGCGCGAGATCGGCGCGTGGTGACGTGCACGTGCAATATCGTAGTGACGATTTAATCCTCTTACACAAGCGCTAAGAGTTCCGTGATAACACTTTCATGCTGTATTACGTCTTACTGTCTTACATGTCGAGTTGTGTTTAATCACTTCTAATTCGTACGCGTGTGTCGATATCCCCCCAATACCAACGCAGAGCATCATCGAGTTAATAGACTTAATACACATTTCAACCATGAACCATAGTTAGCCCATTTCGTAACGTTCTTTTGTTCTAATTAAATGGTATTAGCACTGTCGTTATTAAAACGTGTTCTCCGGTGACGCACAAGACAAGGCATTTTTACATTTCACATCTGAATATGCGTCACAGTTCAAGAGGAATATAATAATTATTTTTAGTTATCTGAATATTAAGTATTAGTTAGATGTATATTTATACTTTGACATTTAATTCTAATTAATATTATCTACTATAATCTAATTAGTATTAATAGCTCTGAAATTTATCCTTAACTAGTATTCACGGATCTAGTGTATCCAACAAAATCTTAAATTAATATATCTTTGCCTAAAGTTAACGCAATTAAATAATTTTTTTTTCTTTTGAAGGTCAAAATCCGAGGAATAAAATTATATAACTTCCAATTATGTAAGGTTGTGAAAAGAGCTTTATCATTAGAGAACACTTTTTAAAAGATATCTGAAGATTTGGCGCGTAATTGAAACAAATGTCCGAGTTCACTGAACTCGCGAATTAATAATATATATCACAATATACATTTTTCAAACATACATATATATATAAATCTATGTAAAAACACATACATTAAATTTGATTGTATGGATTAAAATAATAAATTCTTTAAATCGTATAGATTTCAGTTTCTTTAAAATATAAAACCTATTTTAAAGATACTTATAAATCGTTATTGAAATAAAATGTCCACTATATATTAAATCGTCGATAAAAATTAATGAGGCGCGCAACAATAATTTGAATCCAAGGTCGAATTAAATGAGCTCGGAAAGATAAAGAAGGAAATAGCCCGCAAATTTATTAAACCCATCTATAAAAGTCTTCTGCAAATGCTGCCTCGTAACAAATGTCCCCGAAAATTCAACGAAATACAATATCTCGCGTTAATTACGTTTGCAATTGTACTGAGATATGTTTTGCGAGTGTTAACATTGTTTGCTTACGATGTCTCGTGATAGTGGCGATACTGTCATTTGTAGGAGATACCAACAACGACGTCACATTCGTTATTCTTCTAATCAAGACGAGTATCACTTCTTATCGCTTCGGATGCTCGAAACATTATATCATTTGTAACAATTATGCATGAAGTTACATATCATGTTCAAATGTAAAAAAAAAGTAATCAAATCTTTTTTTATGATAAATATTTAAATATTCTTGTATACATCGAAATTTTTATCTAAAGATGAATATAGGAAGAGATTTACCAAGGATTTTATTTAAATTGTCCGTGTTGCAAGATGGCATTGATGACGAATATATATAAATCACGGATATATAATTTAATTGCCGTAAAACATCTAAATTTCTTAATGATTGTTTATCTTAGGAATACGATGATAAATTAACGGAGTGTGATAAAAATTACATCACAGTAATTATAATATAGTATATCGCGTTCGAGGAAGTTACGCAAGTCAATGTCAAGACGACCGCTCGGAGGCACAAATAAGACCGGAACGAATTTAGAAGTCCGCACGATGTAGCGCAGTATCAATCGAAGCGTAAAGTCATATTAAAATCTCACGCCGGTTGCTAATTAGCCTTTCACTTCGACTGAATTCAACAAACAGATGTCTCAGATTAAGCGTCCACGTGCACGATCCTGTGACGTGTTACAAATTTTATTTGTCGCGGATAAAGAACGTACGATATGCAATCTTAATTAGTGCGTCTGGTATTCTCGATCGTCTATTATTAACTGATTTAAACAAAGTAGGAGACATATTTATCTTAATCAGACTGGAAAGATTAAACTTCTCATCGTTATGTAATTTTTAAAACGTAATTAATAATATAAAATTTATATACATATATATTATTAATAATATAAAATTAATTAATAATATATAATAATATAAAATTAATAATATAAAATTTATATACATATATATTTTATTTAATAATTAATTGCTTAAAAATTATTGAATTGCTTAACATGCACAACATCTATAGGTATAACGAGAGAAGAGGTAAAAAAAAGTCACGAAATAAATTCTAAATCCAAAGATGCGGCTATATCCATTATTAGTACATTATTTTACGACCGTGTTCTCTCTTGCTTTCTTTTCTCTGATATAACTGAATTATGTACATTCTTCTTTCCCTCTCAACCAGAACGCTCTTGCGACATTATGATAAATTACTCTCTTACCACTGATGTCACTATTATTGTTAATTACTCTGCCGCTGATTAAACATTATTACGCCGATTTGCGACCTGTCAACTATCAGCGATGTTCCGATTGTCTCTCTCTTTACGTAATCGCCGTCTTATCAGTGCAGAATTCTCAGTAACAGAAATGTATCTGCCGGTTGTGTATTTGACATTCGCGCGAGCATCACCCAGCGCCGATACGGCGGCGGATCATCACGCGGCGCGAACGGTCTCTCTCCCCCGGAGTGGAAAACGTGGCCGGGTGCAACAGATAAATTCCGTGCGTCGTCCTCAGTCAATAACGAGTTCCCAGTTAGCGCTGGTCACACAACCGCGGCTTGCAAAATCGGCAATATCGCATCTTACGTCTCGCGCTCACTCGAGAAGAAGCTCCGCGGATGTCGGGACACATCGAACGAGTACCTCCCCGCGGCGTACACGCAAAGAGCGATACTCCCGAATATTTGCTAAAACGACATCGACCGTGCACGACGTAGAGAGACTTGACGTATTTATAAAAATCTCAGACTTATTTACGATAAAGACGAACGCTCGAACCGTATAGCGTTCGACGCGCAATTTTCTCAGATCTGAAGATAAAGCGGAATCCGAAAGCGGCGGCTATCCTCAGAATTTTCCGGAGCAATCTAGTGAATATCTCGAAGATTTCGCTTGAAATAATAAAACCGCTGGTCGTTAGATTAGACACGGCTTGCAAAGAAGGCGCAATCTCAAACGCAAGCGGATCGCGATTTTTCGTGGAAACGCACTATCAAGCGAATAGTAATACGAACGCAGATAGTTCAGCAGAATAAACAACTCGGTAAATCGGTATTTATTGTATGTACATACGACGATATTTATATCTGGACGAAGAAGACTGAAAGTAGAGAAAGAGTAAAACTCGCGGCACGTCTAAACTGGACAATTAATTTATTTCGAGTTGTTCGACGCTTTCGTATTTTTTTTTCAACGAGTCCACTCCACGCTTCCGTATCTTTTGAATGCGAGGCGATCGATGAATGATGACGATTTAAAGTACTTTGCGATACGAGATATCGAGCTTATTATCAAATATATATAAATACCGGAATCGCGAGTAGTGTAAAGGTATATAAAGGGTTGAATCGCGACACAGAGAAAGAGTGAGAAGAGCATTGGCATTCTCGTAAAAAAAAGACTGACAACTCTTTTTTAAGATTGCAAATCACCGTTTTGTGCGGAGAAAAGTCACCGCACAGAGGTCATCGGCCGTTATTTGATTGACGCGATTAATTATCGAAAAGTAAGACATTGAAAAAAGACGCCATGACGAACATACCGGACGTTAATAACGCAAACGGACGAACGGATGTTAATGACGCAAATGGACAGACGGACGTTAATAATGCGAATGGACAAACGAATGTCAAAAATGCGAACGAACAAAAAGACATTAATAATGTAAACGAGTACATTAATAACACGAGTGGACAAACTGACGTTAACAATGCAGGTGGGCACATATCGGCGTGCGTGGAGATCAAGGTACGTTTACATGTTTACAAGTTAAGATATTAATACTAAAGATGTACGAACTGCTCGAATACGAAAATTGAAACGAATAAAATCAGATAAAATTTGATTCGATTCGGAATTTAAATTTCTATGATACGATTCAAATTATTCGAAAATTTTGAATCTAAGAGATTCGAATATGAAATTACATATATGAACAATTTTATAAAGTTATATTTCTCGTTGATAAGTAAAACAGTAATAAATCATATAATCATTTTTATTATATTTTATTATCTGTATATTAAAATTCAACCTAACAATAATTATGATTAATTAAAAGTTACATTTCAACGATTCAGTTTAATTTGGGTAAAAATTTGTTCAATTTGATTCGATTTAAATATAACGCCTTGATTGGCACATTTCTAATTAAAACCTCTAATTTAAAAAATTTCAAAATGTACATTTATCACAAATTAAACTGCTAATCCTTTTCTTAAATTTCGATACATCATCTTTTGTACCATCGTCGTATTTTAGTACATCTCTTATATTTGTCCTGCCTGTTTAAAAAAAAGATTTAAAATTCTAAGTTCAATCAGGGGAGCTTATCATGGTTACATTTATCAGGTCTTTTCTTGGATTTTCTTTTGGTTTTCCGTTTAAGTCTAGAGATCTACGAATATGGTTAGTCATTTCCCGAATCGCGATAACGTTAATAACACGATTCAGAATTCAAGTTTAATTAGTATCGTTTTCATTTTCATCTTCTAACGTTGTCAAACAATTAGGAATTCAAGTTTAGCATCATTTACGTCTTCATCTTCTAACGTTGTCAAACAATCCGGTAAGTTATATTACGAAACTCACTAATGCGATTAGATATTTCTTTGGTTGTATAAAAAAATCGTTTAACTCGACTATTTAAGATTAGTTCTTACTTTTATGTCTGGTATAAATTGTATGATTGCATACGAGAAGCACGACAAAAAATCGCTTCCAATGTATTTTAATTTAAAAAAAAATTAACGTACTACGCTTTGAAAATTATATGCATTGCGGAAAATTACTACAGACGATTAAAAAGTCTATTAATCTTTTTCTTGCAGATGGAACCCGGCGTCACAGAGGAAAAAAAATGGGAACGAGCCGGAATAACCTATCAAGTATGATAAAAATCTTTTTACGCGCCTGTAAAAAAATCGATCACGCATAATTCTTCCTTCGATCAACCTCTTCCCATGAAAGACGAAGGTTTAGGTGAACCCAAACACAGCATTCGTGAATGATGATATCACATATATTACTTGTCAAATTATTGACATAAATTGCTTCTTGGATTGACGTATTTCGCTGATAGAATATTATTAATTATTGCCTCATCGATCTATATCGAAAACGAATGACTCGTAAACATTAAATATAGTTAATTTGTTGCACAATTTATTGCTCAATTAATTTGTTTTCGTGTGGATAAAGTGATACCGAACTAACCGACCATGCTTTGGCAGTTAAGATACCCATACACACGAGACTTCGCAATACTCGCAATAGACGTCACAATTCCTTTTCCTTCTGTAATTTTTAAGAGTTTAACGGTGATGACACGCTCGAGTTCGTTCATTGTACGCTCTTTGATTTTCTGCCGATTGATCTTGGAATTAATTACATATAGTACTGAAGATAAAATGTAAATTAATGAATGACGAAATAAAAACAAGATATGTGTAGTAAAACAGATTTCCTAGTCAATTCGATTCTACCCGTAGTAAATTATGTAAATCGTTGGGAAACTTTAGTTTATGTAACAACTCATAAACATTTATTAATCGCAAAAAAGTTTGCGGAGCTGTTGTCGCGTTAACCTTGCGAGCAGCAATCGTTAGTTACAGATTCGAAGATGAAAAATACGAACGGGATGACGGCAAATAATCTCGGTATCGCTGAAAAGAGACGCGTCGCTTGTTTTGATTCTCAATTGCACACTGTCATCTATATTTGCATTTCTTTCGACATAGACTATCTTTACGGCCTCTTGATTTTGCACGAAGTAACGGTATTTTTAAATGATTTCAATTTCCATTTCCTACATGAATTCACACGTAAGAGATGCTTATCCTCGGACACAACAAAGAAATGCATTATGTATAGGTATCCGCCGCTTATCTCTGACGTCCTACAAAATTCCAAATCTTGAGATCAGTAATGATAAGATATACTCTCTATCTCACATTATGAGATTTTCCATTCGATAGTTATCTTGGTATCTCGAAACATGTACGAGGGGGATACGCTACGCGTATTATATTGTGCTCAGCCTTTAAGCTAAAGTAAAACGCTGTATGATATTATCGCGAGATTTTAAGACGTACGTTTAATTGCTGGCTGCACCTTCTTTCATCTCAACGATCATTCGTTAAACCGGTTCTAACATTAATCACACGTGTAGCAGCTGGAGTAATGCATTCGACATGCGATAAGAGAATTATTCAGATAAAAAAAATTCGATGCCCGACTGATATTGTGCTTTAGTTAACCTTAGCCTTTGGTGGTATGATAACTCTGTGCAATACCTCCCGCGTATCTGTTTATACGTACGTGTTTTTCACGTCGCGTTTCGCGTCGTTATAAATAATCTAGTTATAAATTTTCCGAGAAGCTTTTGTCGACAAGTTTACCAAGGCTTTACCCCTCACCGAGAGCACAAATATTTTTCTTGGGATTTTTTTGCACTGCTACCGTTACGTCGTCGCCGTCACGGTTTCCCGATATCGCATCGCCGACCTTTTCTCTTATTCGCAGTCTTGTATTTCTTTTACAGATACTGATGGCCTTATGCGCCAACGTCGTGGTACTGGGCCCAGCGATGGGTTTCGGTTACAGCGCCGTGGCAGAGCCCGCGATGATAGCCGAGAAAACCGACGGTGACATACAACTCGATGCTAACCAAGCAAATTGGATGGGTTGGTGTCATCCAGAAATTAAAATTAAATACTAAAAAAAATTCCTTCCTTCAACGAATAAATATAGAATTAATCTTTGCGCGATTTGGAATTATTAAAAATAAATTTTTGTCATCGTTACCAAAAATTATTATTTACGTAACAGCCACTGTGTCGGCGTTGGGTACACCTATCGGTTGCCTACTCTCGAGCGTCGTGATGGGACGAGGACGAAAGGTCAGCATGTTCGTGACGTCGTTGATCTCATTGGCGGGCTGGGTGACGATCTACATGTCGAACAGTTACGTACAGATCTTGATCGGAAGATCGATTTCCGGAATATCCACCGGCATGGCGTCGGTTCCGACGACGGTGTACGTAGCGGAAATAGCGGGACCGAAGTGGCGAGGCACGATGGTTACGTGGACCAGTATCTCCATCGCTCTTGGTGTCCTCATTGTTTACATCTTCGGGAGTATTTTTCCGGTAAATGCTCACAACACCTACTGATTCGTAAGCAATAAATGAATGATAATGCATAATCTTTTCTGTTTTTTTTTCCTCTCAAAGGATGACTGGCGACTGGTGGCCTTACTGTGCGCTCTATTCCCGCTTTGCGCAATCGCCCTCACCTTGCTGGCGGTACCCGAGACTCCCCTGTGGCTGCGGGATCAAAATCGGCCCGACGAGGCGCTAGAGATTATGAAGAAATTCCGCGGAATACCGAAGGACCAGCCGGCACCGGCGGAAGTCTTGTTCGAACTGAAACCGCGGCCGCAGAAGAAGAATCAGAACCTGCTGAAGCATCTGGTGAAGAGGAGCTCCCTGGTGCCGTTCGGCATAATGCTCAGCTTCTTCTTGTTCCAACAGTTCTCCGGTATCTTCGTGGTCATATACAACGCCGTCGGGATCATGGCCAAGTCGGGCGTTCAAGTGAATCCTTACCTCGGCGCGGTATTGATCGGCGTCGCTCGTTTCATAGCCAGTCTTCTGACGGCCGGTGTGTCCCGGAAGTTCGGCCGACGAATACCGTCGATGATTTCCGGCGTCGGGATGACGATCTTCATGGGCGGCCTGTCGCTCTATCTCTTCCTATCCGAGAAGGGAACCGTCATGGCGGACAACGGGATAGTCCCGGTGATTTGCATGGTGATGTATATATTCACGAGCACCCTGGGCTTCCTGGTGATCCCGTTCGCCATGGTGGGCGAAGTGTTCCCGTCCAAAGTCAAAGACATATTATCCGGCATGACAGTTGCCATAGGTTATCTCTTCAGTGCAATAACCATCAAGACGTATCCGGATATGGAGAGGCTGATGGGCATGCACGGCGTGTTCCTATTTTTCGCGATCGTCTCTTTGGTCGGCGCAATATTCATCCTTTTATTCCTGCCCGAAACGAAGGGCAAGACCCTGCACGAGATCGAGGACATGTTCTCGGCAAAGAAGAAGGCGTTTGAGTTGCAGCCGACGGAGGGAATAGTCGGAGAGATAGTCGCCCCGACTTCCGTCGGTCTCCTGAGAAATTGAGAATATTTATCGTTTATGTGCGGGCAAATAACTGTCAGGACAGTAGATAATAATTAAATGCACGAAGGAAGACAAGGTCGTGCGATATCGTACGAGTGTCAGAGTCGGACGGCCGATGGGAAAGTAATAAAACGGATGCAATGTCGTTTTGTGATGCTTCAAGATACCATTTAAAAGAGATACAATCGAACAAGATATCTCTTATATTTATTCTAAATACGTTATACCTAGAGATCTTTCTATCGTACATTTCACAAAGAAGATAATAGACATAAATATATTTGCTTAGAGCTGACAAAGAGAAGTAAAACGTAACAGAAGACGAAACTTGATGCTGTCATCTCGATAAAAATTTTATCATTAAAACGAAAACAGTGCCATATATCAATACGTAGTTCCACACGTGCAAAAATGTATTCGCAAATTGCAATGAAATGAGATTAGATTTGTACTAGTTTGGGACTCGCAAGAGAGAGATATGTAATCTCGACAATGATATTTTGATAAGACAATACATATCATATTATTTAATTAAAATTCAATACATACTTATTGTTCAATAGTTGGAGCATAGCCTGATCTTCAAAATCGTCCAAACTTATCATAACACGTTTCATAAATTTAGCTGTAACAGCTAGCCAAATAAAATTAAATATATCACGGACGATGTCGCTGAAGATCTAAAGAAAAAGATATTGCGTAAAATCGATTTTATCGATTATGCATAATTTTTTAATTAAATATAGGACTTGTCATTAATAAATTGCTACTATTACTACTCAACAATTGAAAAAATTGTAAATACAAAATTGAACGAAGGCACGTGGCGCTTATATTTAAGTGCTAAATGCACGAGTTAATTTATTACTAGTTATTTTTATTTTTCGTAAATAATTAACACGCGACATTTGATAAGGTCGACAGATTGGCACGGTGACAACGATCGAGAATCGATTCGATAAAGCCTGGAAAGGATTTTTCGTATTCGCGTGTCACAGATACACTTTGTTAGATATTTATTTAAAGCTGGAGAGCATTGCGATAATAATCGAGGATTTCTCCGCGATTAATTAAGTTGTCATTTTGTGACAACAGCCTTTTACAATTAACAAGTGTTATTTTCCTTTGTACAAAGTATTTATCGCGGAGAAATCGACAGAGCGCGATGATACCGACAAAAATTATTACGAGCTATCGAACTTTACAATTTTACCAACTCATCACGCGACTGATTGATAAATGAATTCATAATTAATTATGCGACTTATGTAAGTTATTCTACATATGTATTATATACGCTGAATATAAAAATACACACATATACATATATTTATACACTGTATATACATATATGTGTCTCATGTATTTTATTAAAATCTTAAATAATAAATTAACAAATGGCGTAACAATCACAATAATTAAATAACAAACGCAAAATAATGTACAATTTACGAAATGAAAGCACGGAATATATATGCGGGGTCCGGTAGAGAAACGAGGCGAGAAAGAACGACGATTAACACGATTACTGACAATAATCATACATAATAAAAAGCGATAATAGTATAGAATAATTGTATGTATAATAATAACAACGTAATGCTCTAATAAATGCTCAATAATAAAAAATAAATTATTTGCGAGGTGGTACGGGAAGAGAAATATTACCATGCCGAGAATAATTATTTTACAGAAACTTATCTTGATTAAAATAAATTAGAACAAACTCTTTGGAAACAATTGTCGAATCTTCTCGTATCACTTTAATATTTTAATTCTTTTTAAATGTTTTTTTTTCACATTATCTGCTCTCAAGATTATTCCTTAGGAATACTTCGCACCACCTAACGTCATAAAATGTGACGATATGACCAAGATGGAAAAGTATATGTATGATTTAACAACACTAAAAATTCAGTACGTATACCAAGAAGAAGAAGAAAAATAAAAATGCGACGCTGCAACATATAAAATGCATATTTTACATATGCAAGATGCGCACTTCACATTTATCTCTATAAGTAAATAAAAATATAATCCTAGGCCTTCGAGTTGAAAAGCGCAAAGTTAGAATCTTTTGCAAAATTATTCTGCAAAAAAATTCTGAATCATATAACACAAAAATGAGTACTTCTTGACATTAAGCTTGTAAATAATATTATGCCTTTAAACTCGAAGGAACTATTAATTAACTTCAGTCTTCTTCTTGATCGATTATTTTCAAGTGACGAAGTTATATGCGTGAATCGTCCGGACTTAGCCCTAGCACTTCCTTAATCTTTTTATTAATATATCAATTCATGAGATCTTATGTTTTAAACGAGTCAATGGTAAGCAATGCATGATGTTTTTTTTTTAACATATTTTGCTTATAATCGGAGATTAATGATCAGTCATTTTTTAATGAGGGATACTGTAAATTGTAAATTGAGCTTTGCATATGATAATTTTTATCACTACAGTTTTCAATAATTCAAAAATAAAATTAAAATTAAAATTTTTTTAAAAATAGAATAAGATTATAATTTTATAGTCAAAATTTAATTAAATAAACACTAAATTATTCTTCTTTCGAATTAATTACATACTACCTAAAATAATTTTTGTAATTAAATCATGTAACTCAATTAAATGAGAGAAAGAAAGAGAGAGAGAGATTCCAAAATAAGATAATTAACGAAGATTTAGACTAACGAAACTGGGCTCCGCGCATATTCGCGTCTAGAGCATGAGTCAAAGAACGATCCAATTAACTATCTTAAATAATCTAGTAATGTCAGTAAAGCTCTGTTAGCGCCGGAGAGATCGAAAATCCTCCGCTCGTTCTCGTAATCTAATTCTCCCTACGTAAATAAAGCTTCGTTGGAGTCAAAAGCCTCTTTTTAGCCGCTGGTCCTCCGCCACGCGTAACTTAAAATTCTGTTAATAAAAACTCCGTCGACATGCAAAAGTGCTCAAGATTGAGCCGTTGAGCGAGTTGAATTGAATCTAATATCGAACCGTTTTTATCTTACTTGCTTCCCGCTCGAATCCCAATCGGTCTCTTCTCTTTCGGTTATCCATTCCGCGATAAATCGACAAAGTCTTCAGGAGCCCAGCTCGTGGTCGGATCGCGAGACGAGAAATCAAAATCGCGCTCCGATCTCATCGATCCGACCAGATTCATTCTTTTTCTCATTGTCGCGCGTTTTCTATCCTACCGTCTCTCGAAACGAAACTTGAATGTATTCTCCGGTAGTGCCAGATTGCCGATAGGAACCTTGTAGTTCTCCTTCTCTACCGGCAGTATGTTGAAGTTCTTCAGCAGGGTGGCTATCGTCGAGAAACTGATGTATTGAACCATTTTGTAGCCCATGCAAGACCTCCGGCCGCCTCCGAATGGCAGAAAATGTTCAGGCTTCAGCAGTTTACCATTCTGCACGAATCTCTGTGGTATGAACTCTTCGGGAGAAGTCCACAACTCCGTTGACATATTTAGATCATAGTTGTTCAGGAAAATAAATGTGTCTTTCTCTATTTTGTAGCCTAGAATAAAAAATAAAATAAAAGATCAAGATTTGAGTAAAAACAACGAAAAACTATCACACAATTTTTGTTATATTAATAAATATATTGATACTAATATTATTTAAAATCACTAAATTTCGCAATTATAATATTATTGATGTGGAGATTTTCGTTCACAATATATTTCATAAATTTCTGTTAATTATAAATATATACAATTACTCTCGAGACGAGGCAAAGCTAACGTGAGCTCTATTTTGACACTATCATCGCAAGGGAGAGAAAATTACTCACCGGCTATGGAGCTGTCCTGGTTGGCGACGTGCGGCACGATCGGACTGGCGATCAGCCTGATCGCTTCGAGAATGATAGCTTCCGTGTACGGCATGTTTCCTCTGTTCTCTAGCCCGACGAACTTGCCTGGGATCTCGATCCCGTCGATCTCCATCTGCGCTATTTTCTGCACGTGCGGTCGGGTAACCAGGTATCCCAGGACCTTAACGAGGAAATTACCGACCGCCGAATGACCGCCGGCGATGTCCTCCAGCGCGAACAATGCCATATCCCAGGTCATCTTGGGCTCGGCATCGGTCTTGATGTGATTTATCAGGCAGTCCACGTAGTCCACCTCAGGTATGACCGATCTCCAGCTGGCCAGACGATCCCCGATTATGTTACTCTCCATGAACTTTCTGATTTCGTGGCTCCAATTCGCCATCCTGGTCATGTTACGCTGGTGGAGCGGCATCAGGAACGGCATGAAGTCGGCGGCGTATCCCTGATTCACCTCGTAGAAGACCTTGTCGAAATTGCCGATCATGTCGCGGAAGGAATCGTGGCCGAGACCGAAGCTTCGCGAGCAGAAGTACTTCATGAAGATGTTCGCGCACGTGTGCATGATCAGTGGCTTGGCGTGCAGGCTGACACCAGAAATGCCGGTCAGATGGTCAATCAGCCAATCCACCTCGCCGCCGATGATGCCGTTCAACTGGTTGTATCGCGTGGTGAAGGCGCGCGGGAAAGTATGCCCTCGCAGCATTTCCCTTCGCATCTTCTGAACGTCTGACCAGTTGCAGAATGCCAAAGCTGTGAAAAGGAGGAAGAATGATTTAATTCAAGAGATATTGAAATCCTCAATTAAAAGTTTACGCATTATAATTTATTTCGCTGAAGAAATATATTCGGAAATATATTTAAAAAATATTCGGAAAACCCGTCTTTTTTCTTTCTTTCTTTTATTTTTTTATTTAAAATTTCAAGACGTTCTCTTCTCTAATGTGGCATCAATTAGTTTTGCTTTCATCGCGTCGCAATTTATAGTTACTCGCAACGAAAGCAGCTGACGTCAGGACGCCGTGATGGTAAACGTATATATTCCACGAATATATCCCGACTCAAATTACCAAATCAAGAAAAGGACAATATCAGCACGACTGGCGGCGGTGTTGAACTTGGCCTTGTTACCGTCCCGCGCGGTGCGCGTAACAACGCATTTCGAAACATCATCGTTTTGCCGAAGAAAAATTCGCACCACACGCTCCCTTTCTACTTCACGCGCGCGCCTTCGCACGCACCGCGTACGCGGAAATGTAACGCGAACGCTGCTAGACGACACGGCATCAATTCCCCAGCGGACACGGCAGAAAATCGACTCGCCGTTCAGCGCGCTTGATATGAAATCGAAGCGGGAGAGGAGACGGCAGCAGGAAGTGACCCGGTTTCTCGTCGTCCATGCAGGGCGCCCGAGAACCTGAAGAGCGGCAGCTGACAATTTTCCGCGATAATCCGGCGAACGTTATCAAATAAAAATATCATAATACATAAATTACACAATGAAAATTTTTTCTGAGCATTCTGCAGCAAGTATTTCTTCGTTATTTTATATAGCTAGAAACGCGTTACGGATTTCTTAATAACAAACGATTGAATGAAACACATATTAGACGTCTGACGACAGCTAAATCAGAAAACGCAAGCGTTGAGAAAGGTTAGTGTAGAAAAACATATCATTAATTTATTATGCGTGACGAAAAAATCCAAGGGATTACTAGCTAATGATAATATTCAATCTGCAACAAACAAGAAACTTTATAGAGGTGACCGTATTAAGAGCTCGCCGGCGCTAGTGACGTGCGCGCGAAAATAAAATATTCCGCTGCAGAGCGCGAATGTGCGTGCAATGGAAAGGGTTAATACGATCGTCTTGGATCGCGGGGCACGGCGGCGGCGGTTGCGATGGATCAGCCTTGATCCTATTTGCTGCCGGCTGCCGGGTGAGCCAGGAACGCGTGAAAGTGGTACCGTGACCTTTTCCGCCTGCACTTGGTACCGCTTCTTGCGCTGACCTTAGCATGAGTTTCGGACGCGCGCGGACGGGCGTGGAATACGCGTGTGCGTGACAAAGTAAATCAATGTATCATGCGTAAAATACGCGTGAGCATATGCGTCCTCACGTGTCTGGCGCGCGCGCGCGCGCACGCGACAAGGTCATTAGCGTGCAATTTTTCAAAAGCTCCTGAACAAGAGGTGTAGATAAGCCAAGCAAGAATTTTGCCCGCGAGCGCCGAATCGATAATTAATTCACAATTGGTGCAAGCAGTAAATCATAATCGGTCGGAATTTCTGATCTCTCTGTTGGACGTATGATCGGAAAACATGACTCGCAACGTGACCCAAACCGCTGAGAGAGTGATTCGTTGCGATTGCGCGAGCGTAATCGATCTCTGTTTCAACGAGCGATCTAAGAGTGTTAACTGATCGCGAATCATTCCCGCTTGGTTCATTAATTATTAATATCGATAGTAAATCGTTTAGGAAAGCGCTCTAAATCAAATCGCAGATTTACCCCGCAATCTTTCGTCCATAATTCCTTGTTGATATTTGGCATATTATAAGTTTAAAAAAATAGAACTAATTTTGTTGCAAATTGATTCTTGACGAAAAGCTAGACAGAAATAATAAAGCGGAAATTAGATACTTACAATTTTCCTTGTTGTCGCCGAAGAGGAGATGGTATCTAATGAAGTTTGGCCTAGAGTCGAAGTGGTGGCCCTTGGTGACCAAGACCTCCTTAATGTTCTCCAATCCATTGACGACGACGCAAGGTACAGATCCCATCTTGAGCTTGATTATCTGACTGTTGTAGACCTTGACGAGGTCGCCGAAGGCCTTGTAAGGCACATCATAGCGTCCCAAAATGTGAAGTGAGCCCAGAACTGGCCACGGTTTTGGTCCAGGTGGTTCTAGTAGGTCGATCGGCTGCTCGCCGTCGTACAGTTTCTTCGGCTCCTTCAATCTAACATGGTCCATCACGATCAAGATCAAGGCCACCAGAACGACGGCGAGTAGGAAGTACGTCGTGGCGCTGATAAAGATCATCCTTCGGCACAATCACAAATTTCTTCACTAAATAGAATCGTCTGCTTCCTCCCTCTTTTTTTTTAGTTTACACTCCTTTCTTCCCTTCTTTTTTCTGACAATCTGGAAAAACGTTCCCCGGTGCTTCTTAACGATGAATATATTTTTCTATCAAAATGTATCGTGTTCGTATTGATTTCACAGAACAGATTCAATTTATATCCTTTCTGCGGGATATAGATTCTTTCTTAGAAGCACGCGTTAGTCTTGATAATCGAGTTGCCTCTGCCGGTCTTCGATAAGACGGATCCTTCAAGCTCCTAGTCTCTCGTTCACTTCGCCGGAAATGTCAACAATAGTCGACTCTTCCGAGACGAAATCACGGATGTGATGTCTTCACCGCGAATGAGTATCGGCCGATCGGGACGCAAGCTCCTTGTGGCCCGTCTGTGAACGGTCCGCCGATCTGACTCGGTCTGTGGGGATAGGATGGTTGTCCGGCTATCTTATATAGCCGGGCGTAATGTAGTCAGCACATTTGCGTCGAGCACTGTGCGTCGAGCACCTCAACCCCATACATATGGATTCGTGTTGAGACGAGATGGGCAGCAGGAGGAGGAAGGGAAAGAGGAGGAGGAGGTGGTGGTGGCGGCGATAGAAGTGGAGGAAGACGAGGAGGAGGAGGAGGTGGACACTCTCGTATGGATCGTAAAAGCCGTACCCCTCTGCCACTGTGCTTAAACAGAGACGAAATTCAAGAAAACCTGAAGGGACATACTCACTCGCGTATGGATTGGTAGGGCCCGTCAGAGCCCGCGGAGCAGAGGGAGAAGGGCCCGGAGGGAAGCAGACGCGGCAACGGAGGGATGATCGCGGGAACGCCGGGGAAAAGGGGGAGAGGAAAAGGGCCCCGGAGGCGGTGGAGCAGAGAGCAAACCTACATAGTGGTAGGGACCGGTGCTAGAGGAGAAGGGTGGGGAGAGAAATCGCCCGGTAGGGCCCGTCGCGGCCTCCTGGGCCCAGGCCGTGTAAACGAAGGGACACTTCTTGCCCTTGACTTCTCTCCTTAAGGTGCCATCGGGTTTTCTGGCAGCGAGGATGGTAGTGTGTGCGAGCGTATTTGCTACGCGTACTCGCAGCTGCGCCGGTACCCACCCGATGTTACGCGCGGCCGAGACAACGAATGTCGGAGTCGGTGATCGACGGTAATACGCTTTTGGTACATCCACGGGGTACGTGGACGGAGAACGAAGTCACCTTTTTCACGCAGTGACCGCCTGGTCATGGCTCGACATGGCGCGTTTTCAAATACTTTAACGAGCTACGCGAAATCGCACGACAAGAAGGTAAATTACGGTTCCCCTGTGCAAAAGAATGAAACTTGAGAGAGATCCGCGTGACTTCTCACCATGAAAGCTTAGTAATATAAATTATATATTTATCCTCAGGATCGAATAAATTATTTGTCACTTTCGGTGAAGAACACCACCACGTCTCGTAATTAGAGGGTAAAACAGGCAATATCTTGCATTTAGAAGATTATATTTCATTATATTTCGTTTTGACATTGTATATAGAAATAAATGCTTAAACTATGTACGTAGCGATTATCATTTTTGCGAAACTTTTCCTCCGTGCTGTCACTTTGAAGCGGCAGACTTTGTTGTTTACGTCTGGAACCAGAGACTTTTCCCATCGAGAAAAATCAATCGATCTTGAATCCGAAATCCGTCTAATTTTAGAAAGATGCGCTGAATGGCGTTATGTAACCGTGAGACAACTATGCGAATGCATTTCGTTCGACGAGAAGGAAGTGAAATATACAATTCTAATGATGTCTTCTTTTTCTTTCATCCATATTAATTTAGTTTACCGTAAACATTGTTTACGCGGGAAAAAAAGCAAACGGGTCGGTTGTCGAATTTTCTTTTGGAATAATGGAAGAGGATGGGATAATATATGCACGATGTATACATTTGCATAATTACAACAGTGAGGGAAAACATACATATAAGAATTAAAATTCTTGTCCCGAAGTTCAAGATTAACATCTCCACCTTTCCCATTCCGTAAGAATACGGAAAGTACGTAAAGATAAGAAAAGACGAAATCATTCTGCGAAAAATATATTTCGCGTAATCTGCTCGCTATCGATATTGAAAATTAAAAAAAAAATTAAACGTGATCCGAATGCGGCACGATTCGTAAATCATGATGGATTCTACAAAAGTCGACTGCTAATTAAGAATGTATACGTAACGCTAGCGGAGAAATGTGAAAATTAAAAATAAATCCAGCGGATGAGAAGCGCGAATTTGGATGAGGAAGCGCGCGAGAAGGAGATTTTACATCTCTCGAATTCGTTCGAATTAATGAATAAGGTATGAGAGTTATGATGGTGCGTATAATATGCCCCCATATCCTCCGCCCCGGATCCTCCCGCTACCCTCCTCCGGGGGACCCGCGTAACACACGGGGTCCCCCACCGGTCAGTGCCGCGGTTTTTTTCCCTCTCACTCGCCACGACAGTAGAGAGATTACTTCATCCGTATCGAGTCGCATTATCGAGAGTCGATTTCTGGGAAGCTAGCGGTACCGGCCTCTCTGCCCGCCGCCGCCGCCAGCTCGCCAAATCAACTCTAGAGACGAGGCGCATAACGGGAAAGCCCTCTTCTCCGTTTGCGAGACACATGGCCGGAAGCTCGCCGCCGCTGTCGTCGTCGTCGTCGTGGTCGTCGTCGTCGTTCCCATCGTGTCGCCGGGACGATTTTTCATTTCGCTTTCGTACGCGATCCCTCTCGTAGCGCAGGAATTTGTTCGAAGCACGCGTCATTTCCCGCGTGATTTGTATACGTGAAAATATAAAATGAGCACAAGAAGAAGGGAACAGCAATTTAGGAAATTTCCATTAATTCAGAAAGTTTTTTGATTTTACACATTTTCGATTCGGTATTAATCTTCTTTCTTGCTTTCAATTCTCGCGTACGTACTTGCGAATAATTAAGACATATTAATGAAGATGACTAATATTAATATTTAAATGTATACATTTGATTAATACTGTGCAATAAATTGTCTCACTAAGAGCCGAAATAAGAGTGAATCATATAAATGTAATTATTACGGAGAGAGAAGAAGCAAAGCTGAAGAAAGTGAGATAAGCAGCGCGATGACACACTTTAGTCAAGTACTCGACAGCAATGAAGGACGAATTGAAATAACATGATTACATATAACGTGAATGCATATTCCTCACCATACATTACTTATACATTTAAATAGTTAAGAAAGAAATCAATGAAAGAATCCTTTTTCGAATAAAACAGATCGTTTTGAGCCACATTGCCATAAGCTGCGAAAAAAGCTATGTCTGCGTTTTCGAGCAGTTACCATCAATTTTCATTACGCCATTGATCTTCGTACGCAGTAAATCAGATCTTTGACGATGTCTTCTCCTTGGGGCGCGATGCACGGTCAAGATTGTTTGAGGTTTATCCCCGATGGCTGATTTCGATGGTCACACCGCCGATCTGGCCGCAGATAGATGCGTCGACGATAAAAAGTGTGGCAGATATATTCCGAGACGGCCGGGTACGAAGGCGACCAGCAACCGAAAATCAAGGTCATCCGGATTAGCAACGAATAAGATCGAAGCAAGAATGATGGGACGCGCCGTGGTCGCCGATGGTCGCCTGCCTTGCAGCCCGCTCTGCTCGTCCTTTTGCCTGGATTTGTAGGACAGCGGGAGGATAGCTCTCCCCGAGGCCCGTCATCGAAGCGGATGAGCACCATATAGCCTGGCTGGCGCGTAGAAAAATCCGTCCCTTTCACCCTCGACCGTGTGTCCGTCCATCCCTCGATATTTTTGCACGCCGCGGAACGCAGATAAAAATCATTCATCGTTCTCTAACGCGCAACACCATAACACCGACTCTCCGATTACGACATGCCTCTGATTTATCTGCGTCCTATTCGAGGCCCTCTCGCATCGTCGCACGAAATAAACATGACCTAAAGACATTTTTGTATTATTCGTAACTGTGCCACGTACTACTCGGACAAGGTCTTTCTGGATCGAAACTATTACAGTGGGTCTATCGAATAATTCCGTTTATACTTGAATTTTGATTGTACCGAGAGACTCGCAAGACTACTTACTTGATATCTCCTCCTTAAGATGATAAAATATTATCCCATAGCTTACTGCATACGATAGATTATTCGCGTCTGGATTAACTTTCATCACTTTTACAAGTACAAAAATTATTGAGTGATTTTTATATACTACTTTAACATCTTTAGAAAATATTTGTAGTGTTGGTATTTTAGAAAAAAATGTATACTTAATAATGATAAATGTTATAACTAATTACAGCCAACGCGAATGTCTCAACTGTATATGTACTAAGAATTAAATTCAATCAGAGAACCAGCGGTCATGTGTTTCGGTTAGAGTGTAAGCATAAAAAATTCGCATGGGCAGCTCGTCCAAAAATGTACGCGGATATGTATAATGAATGCGGGTGGGAAGCGCACGGAGCTGGTGGAAGACGGAGAGGCATTGCAAATTAACAGAATCGACGCTGAGTCGGCCGAATCGCATTTAGACAGACGGCAGGATTCCAATGCGGCCCGACGACGAGTTGCGTAAGAAATTATTGAAAATGTAACGGGCGTACACTCCCCTGCAGCCCGTTCACCGCCGACGACGCCCCGGTAGATCGGGAGCATGCACATGCGAGATATCTCCCTGCGCGAGAGGCGCGCGTCTCCGCGCGTCTCTGACACGCTCGCTGATCTGCATGTAGCGGTCGTGCATTGAGCTCTAACGGTCAAGAGAGACGCGGCTTTTACATAAGCGCGGATAAGCGCCCGCGGTGCATAAACGTAACGCGACCAGGGGACGCGAACGGGAACAGATATCCCGGTCGATGGAATATGCCAATTGCAAAATTCGCGACGGATACATTTATGGAGAGACCCGGGGTCTCTTTCTCTCTCTCTCTCTCTCTCTTTTCCTCTCTTCTATCTTGGCGCACCCCATTGCTCGGCTTCGAGACGCCTTCTGCGCCGCGCGAATCGTTACGAGGTGCGTTAGACATGCTGATGCCGATCGAAGGTAAAAGTTTTTTACGTCTAGAGTCTCGAACTAAACGCGCGCGGGAAGTCCTGAGTTTCTCTTTACGTCGGCGAATTTCTTTTTTTTCTTTTATTGCGCGAAATCCTTTCGTCATCTCTGCATGTGATGTCGCGCTAAGGCGTTTTTTAAGACGAACGGAATTTCGACGATCCGCACGTAATTCGATCAGCGGTATATTAGCGTCTAATTTCAATCCCGAAAAAAAAAACTGACACCTCGATTTTTGGTGGAAAATTTAACACTCTGATTTCTTGCCACTTCGCTTTTTTATTTTGTCAAAAATGTTGAAGTGTCAGGTCTTTCTTTAGGGAAATATCGTTAAGTATTTAATTTCACAGCGACATCAATTT